TTGACTTGAAGGCTATAGTCTCATGGGCGGTGCTAGCTAGTAGCGCATGCCGCAACATGGTCCATATTGGGCTGCGAGGCCACGGCCAACAACTCATGAGGCTAGAAGTCCTGGAAGCCCTAGAATCCGACCGGCGCAAGGTGGAAGAAGACCACATCGACAGTAGCTTTCATTGAAGTTAAAGCTGGCTTGGCCGCTTGGTGGCTGGTGGTATATGCGTATGGGTATTGGGCTTAGGGGCTTCTTTCGTCTTGGCATGCCAAGCCCATAAGGCCTTAGCCTTTTTGAAAAGAAGAAAGGCATAGTCGGCGATTCTTGGCGTCATGTGAGCTCCCCGACTCAAGGCGTCGCGCAGACGGGTGGCTTAGTCACCGTGGTGGCCACGCCAGCTCCCTCTGGCCCTCCCTCTCATCTTCTATCGCCTCTCGCCCTACGTGAACTGCGGCTCCACCACTCGCCGGCCACCGGCCACCGACTTGCCCCTCCGATCTCTCATGCGCTGCTGCGCATAGTAGTCGTGGCAACGGTCGAGACAAGGGCCACACTGGCGAGTGCTACCACCCATCGCCACCATCTTTGTCCGGCAGACGAGTAGGCGACGGAGATCGCCATTGCCGTCTTTGCTGTCGTCTGCGGCAGGCAAGAAGACGACGCCAAGACGACGGAAAGCAGACGAACAACGGGCAGAGGCGGAGGGAGGCGGACGGGATGCCGCCGCCACGCTTGTTGTGTTGTAACAGCATCTTGCTCTGGTTGGCGCGCTACCCATAGGAAGCAGGATTGAAGATCGGGAATATTCCTGTGACCTATGACCCGGACGGCGCCGGCGCTGGCGAGGCAGATCGGGGCCGATGCCTAGAGGAGGAAGGTTCGTCGCACGAATACGGCCTTTTTATGCAAATGAATGAGGCTAAGATAGATGAGGGGTTAAATGCAAAGTGGCAGACACAGTCAGTGCTACAGTGCATACCACGTCAAATAAAAATGCTAGTATGGCTAATATGGACATGTGGTGAACTAGTTAACAAGGTTCAGGGACTCAGAAATGCATTTTTCAAGTTTATGGAGGTATGTGACATACGTTTACAAGTTCGAGGTCCGCTGATGCATTTAACTAAAAAAAAAAAGAACAAAGAGGATAGATTCCTCTCTCTTTCGATCGGAATGAAGCTTTTTTGTTTCAAAAGCTGGTTCCTCATTACAGAGTATGATACAGATTCTATTCGGAGTTTTATTATTTCATCAGTATTTTGTGTTGATTAACGGATGGAAGTGTGGGGAGGTTTGGTGAGGCAGCTGAAACTTGCTTGTGTGTCCTAAAAAATCTCTAACCGTCTTCGAAATTCGTTCTTTGTTTCTTTCTTTTTTAATCACATCAAATTTCTAGAACAGGTAAACGTACTTACCACATTCATAAGTGGAATAGGTCTTATTATGAGCTAGAAAAAAACCATACCAGGCTCCCCATGTGAAGATCAATAAGGGTTGCTTGAATTATGGTTTTATTGTTTTGATACATAATCCGAAGCTGAAACAAACAAATAAAGTAGCTTTTTACTCTAGAATTGTAACAATCCAAGAGGGTGGTCTCACCTAGCTTTTTACAGTTTGTTACTTATTGTTGTCACTCGGTCACCCTTCAACAACCCAACAGCTCTAGAATCCAGGTTGCCAAACAACTACTACCTCCGTTGAGGAAAGAGTGCAACTATGGATTCCTATCAATCAAACTAGTTCAAGTTTAATCAAGTTTAATCAAGTTTATAGTAAATAGTATTAATATTTATGTCTTTGGATAAATTTATTATGAAAATATATCCTATAACGAATTCAATTATACTTATTTTGTATCATGAATGTTAGTATTTTTTTATATAAATTTAGTCAAAGTTCAAACTGTTTGACTTCTTCAAAAACGAAAATTGCATTCTTTTGTGGACAGAGAGAGTACCATTTTGTTTATCTTCATCTTCTCACAAGTTCATTTTTTTTTACAATCCACAATGTAACAAGTTGTTTCCAAATAAATATATATATGTCCTAGACAACTGAAGAAGTAACAATTAATGGTAACGAGGGTAGAAGACTGACTAACTGGGCTATATATCGATCTGTGATGCATTTTTGCTGCGTGCGTGATCCGACCTGATGAAAATCGTGAGACACGTTGAGGATAAATCATGACTTTATGCCGTGGTTTATGCTCCGTCTTCCACCTATACAATCCTTTCATGGTCACCGGTATTACTAGGAGAGCGATGGATGGGTCCATTGAGAGGAACAGTGACCTAGCAATGAGGAAAAAAAATGGATGGTGGCAGATCTGACAGTTTGCACAACAATGGAATTGTAGGTTGTGTTTAGTTCCTAAAAAGTTTTCTAAAAAGTGCTGCAATAACTATTACATCGAATCTTACGATACGTGCATAGAGCATTAAATGTAGACGAAAAAAACTAATTGCATAGTTTAGTTGGAAATCGCGAGACGAACATTTTGAGTCTAATTAGTCCATAATTAAATACTACTCCCTCCATCCCAAATTGTAAGTCATTCCAAAAATCTTGGAGAGTCAAAGTTTTTCAAGTTTGACTAAATTTATATAACAAAATAATAATATTTATCATACCAAGTAAGTATCATTAGATTCTTCATTAGTTATATTTTCATATTATACCTATTTGATGTCATTAATCTTTGTGTTTCTCTCTATAATTTTAGTCAAACTTGAAAAAGTTTGACTCTCTAAGATTCTTGAAATGACTTACAATTTACGATAGAGGGAGTAATTATCAAATAAAAACAAAAGTGCAACGACAGCCAAATTCATAAATTTCGTGAACTTAACGGCAGCCGTAGCAGGGGAACTTGGTAGGCCACACGCCCCAACGAGCCGGTTGCTAGGGTCACTGTGCGGTGAGCAGATTCGGCGGCCTCCAAACGCACGTTCCTATAAAAGCAACGGCCACCACACCTACGCCCAAGCGGTGGCACACTCCTCCTTGCCATGCCAGTGCCGCCTGCCTGCCTCGCCGTAGCCCGCCGCCCCGCTCCGCCCGCCCCTAGAAGCGGCCGCCAGACCAGCCAAGCGGCCGGTGGCCGCCTAGTCGTCCGCTCCCGCGCCGACCGCCCACGCGGAGCCGCTCCGCACCAACATTCCCTCGGGAACCACGGCGGCGCCCACTCCCACACCGCGTTAAACTAAACCCCGCGCAGGCGCGCCATTATAGTTAGATTAGAAAAAGAAGGAACAGAAACAGAGATTGCAACCGCCTTCCCTGGTCTCTCTCCTCGTCCCGCTCCCGCCCGCGTCGCGCGCGAGGAACTGAACCGGCGCGGCAACCGCGAGAACCCCGGTGAGCACCAGCGACTTCTGCTCTGCTTACCGTTTCGCCTTCCTCCTAATCCCATCGACCCCCGGAATCTCGTTCTTGTGCATTGGGGGGAGATTGGAGTGCCGTCGTGTTTCGATTCGAGATTCCGAGGTTACATTTCCTTTTGAGGTCCTTGGCTCTTACTTCCTTTTATTGGCACCGCAAGTTTCGTTGCTGAAACTGCCAAACTGGTGGGATCTTGGTCTGACGAGCTCTGCTTTTGGTGCGTGCGCTTGTAGATTGGTTGCAGACTGACTAACGACCCGCTCGATTGGGCTTGATTGGCTCATAAGCTATGGGCAGACTGATTTGTTGCGTAAAAAAAATACGGATGGTTGACTGAAAAAAATACGCCTTATAAACCAAACACGACCAAGCGTAACGTACGTGCGAGGTGTCTATATTATATTCATTTCCTGTTCTTGTTCTTGCTCCTGTGCCGTGTGAGCATTTTTTTTCCATCTAATGTTAGTTACTACTGTATATCTTATAATTTCCACACGGATTAGGCTGGCATTTTAGACTGAAGTTTTGGTCCATTGGTGGGTGGTAGCCTGTGATTCTCATTTCTTTGCTCTTTTGTTAGCTGCCTGATATTTATCGTTTTCTCAACTTTCTTGGACTCTTCCGTGCTGAAAATTGCTGCTGCCATTTGTTGCAACGGTGTAAATCGAATTGATGGACCTGCCTGTTTTGTCGGGTGATTGGTAATTTCGAGGAATGGACTAGGACATAGTGATTGTTGTGGAATCAAGTACTGCCTCATGCTCAGTATCAACCGCGTCTACACCCATCATGGATCGTATATTCGTAATTACCTTTGCATATCAGTGTCTTGTCAGATCTCTCTGTAGTTAAGTTATGGCGCAGCTTTATGTCTGGGGCTCTCTCATCGCCCTGGGGGACCTCCTTCTTGAATGCAATCCAGGGGCACCGTGGTCCAAGATCGACTGGAGCCCCACGGCCATGTGCCTCCCAACTACCGTCTGTCCAAGCAAATTACCGTCTGTACCAGATTCTCTTATTAAGTTGTTGAAGAATTTTCAATTTTACTTGCAAGACAGAAATCTTGCTCAGCTGTCCAGTTCATGAGCTGAGTTGCTGTCCTGTCACTTGGTTTATGATGTCAACGTTTGCTTGTCAGGACCAAAGATTTAGGACTTACTACTGTCATGCTCCATGGTGAATGCTTTGTTGTAAGCTGCACTCTTTATTAACTTATTAGGATGCAGAGGATTGATCTGTGTGCAACTATGTTTTATAGTGGATGTCTCCGTGGTAAACATTTGCTTCTTAGAATGCTTGTCAGTATCAGGGACATGCTTTTTAGGGGATTTCTTACTGGAAGCTGCATTTTTAACTTGAGGGGTGCAGATCGCTCTACCTCTACGTATCAGCTCTGAACTTGCACTGCATCTTTTATTTTCAGTTGCTACTTCCATTGCAATTTTTATGTCCTTTTAATTCCCTTTGCCATTTCATAATCATTATCATCTGGGTTTGTTAAACCCTCTTGAAAATTCCCTATTGACTTTCTTAAGCTGATAGGACTTTGCTGGTGTTTCTAATTCTGTTGGTGATCTGTCCAGGTATCAAACTTCTACTAGTGCATCACAAAGGATACTGAAATGGGTGCCAAAGAGAATGGAGAAGAGAGAGATGATCATTCAAGTGATGTGGAAAGAGATGGTAAACAAGGGAAGGAAACTGAATCAGACTATGAACCAGCTAGAAATTCCCTTTCATCGCCAGGTGAGGCTACCAGTAACGAAGACACTAAAGTGAAAAGAGTCTCAAGAGTTCCAAAGAAGCTAGCAAGGAAAGTGTCAAAGGAAAACAGCCCACGCTCAGCAAGAAGCATTTCCAATCGTCAAATCCACACCAAGCTGCAGCTTATATCGTCAAACAGTAGCCAGAACAAATCGCCAAAAACAAACAAAACAGCTAATGGTGCTAAAACTGTTGAAATGAAGAAGCCAGAGACTCCGAAAGCTCCTTCTTGTTCTTCATCCGAGATGTCTGAGGAAACAGATGACAAAGCTATTGAGGATAGACCCATAGATGATAAAGCAGTTGAGGGCAGAATCAAGGATGATAGTGCTGTTGAAGGCGGAGCCACCGATGATAAAGCCATTGAGGATATAGCTAAGAATGATAAGGACATTGAGGATGGAATGAAGGATGATAAGGCCATTGAATGTGAAGTCACTGATGATAAACCTATTGAGGGCAAAGTAATTGATGGTATTGCCATTGAGGGCAGAGAGATTGAAGGTAAAGCCATTGAAGAGGCAAAGGAGATTGATATATTGGATGAAGCTCCAAAATGTGATCAGAGTACTGGCACTGATGATGAAATTGCTGATACTGAAGAAAACATAGCTGATAATGGCAACTCAGTTTCATATGAAAATAACGAGGAATTATATTCAAAAATTGAGAAGTTGGAGCAGGAGCTACGTGAAGTTGCTGCCCTCGAGGTTTCTCTCTACTCTGTGGTGCCAGAGCATGGTTGTTCATCACATAAGTTGCATACACCAGCTCGCCGTCTATCTAGGATTTACATTCATGCATCAAAATTTTGGTCCTCAGTTAAGAAATCTTCAGTCGCAAGAAATTCAGTTTCTGGGCTTGTGCTTGTTGCAAAGTCTTGTGGCAATGATGTTTCAAGGTAAATTATCACTACCCTCTAATGCTTGTTTCCCCTTATTGTCATTACCGTCAACTCCTTCAGATCAAAATTTAAGAAGTGAGAATCTAATTTTGATGTAGGTTGACATTTTGGCTATCGAACACTGTTGTCCTGAGAGAAATCATTGCACAAACATTTGGTTCTTCACGACACTCAAGTCCAGTTAAGCTTTTCAACACAAATGGTGCAAAGAAGCCTGACAGGAGTTCCGCTCCAACGCGATGGAAAAGTAACTACAGTGGCAAGTATGCGAAACGCAATATCATGCAGGTGCCAGATGATTGGCGTGAAACTAGCACACTGCTGGATGCATTGGAGAAGATCGAATCTTGGATCTTTTCTCGGATTGTCGAGTCTGTGTGGTGGCAGGTAAAAGTTCACCCTATTACTGTCTTGGCACTTTCCAGAAAGCTGAGTATGGCTTCTAAAACAGTGATGATTAAAACCTATTGCAAATTAATCCAAGTTTTCAGTTTTCTGAAGGATTTTCATTTCACAGGCAATGACACCCCACATGCAAACCCCTGTAGAAGATTTGTCAACTCCAAAGATTGAGAGGTCGTTAGGGCATTCTTTGGGTGATCAGCAACATGGAAGTTTTTCTATTGATATCTGGAAAACTGCATTTCATGATGCATTCAGCAGAATCTGTCCTCTTCGTGCTGGTGGACATGAGTGTGGATGTTTACCGGTGTTGGCAAAATTGGTATGCTTTCAGATGCTTATTTTTGTTTCTTTGGTAATGGTATCTTTTGTGTGAAGTTTACTCATGAAATTTTCTGTTTCTATCAGGTGATGGAGCACTGCATAGCCCGTTTAGATATTGCTATGTTTAATGCCATCCTTCGTGAATCAGAGAATGAGATACCCACGGATCCTATATCTGACCCAATTGTGGACTCAAGAGTTCTGCCGATTCTAGCTGGGGACTTAAGCTTTGGATCAGGCGCACAGCTCAAGAACTCTGTATGCACTTAAATTATGAAATGCTTGCAATTGCATGATGAACAAACAAACAAACAATCTAGAATAGGGACTATGCATGATCTCGCCCTTGCACTACTGATTGTTAACACATGATACACTTCTGCAGGTTGGGAATTGGTCCAGATGGTTGACTGATACGTTTGGCATGGATGCTGCTGAATCTGAAAAGGATGGTCAAGATGTGGAAATTAATGGTGATGACAGAAGAGATGCAGCAGAATCAACTTGTTTTAAGCTACTTAATGAGTTGAGTGATCTTTTGATGCTCCCGAAGGACATGCTTCTCGAGAAAACCATTAGGAAAGAGGTAAGCTTCCATTTGTAGTTCGTGTCTCATTCCCAGGTCCTAATATGTGCTTCAGTAAGTTTTGATCGTCGTGTTTTGCATCAGGTCTGCCCATCCATTGGCCTTCCACTAGTAACAAGAATACTCTGCAACTTCACTCCTGACGAGTTCTGCCCTGATCCTGTTCCTGGCATGGTTCTAGAGGAGCTGAATTCTGAGGTATACTTTCCGTTTGCTAAAATGGTTTGTTTCACCTTCGATTTGGAAGCATCTCGTGTTACCTACATGTCAAATTGCTCAACTGGTATTGCGATGAATGCCTTGCAGAGCTTGCTGGAGCGATTCACAGAGAAAGACATGATCAGCACATTCCCAGTCACCGCTGCTCCAGTGGTGTACTGCCCACCTACACTGGAGGACGTCGCGGAGAAAGTGTCTGACACGGCTTGTGGCAATCCAGAGCTGGACCGGAGGGGATCAATGGTGCAGAGGAGAGGGTACACCAGCGATGACGATCTGGATGACCTGGAGCTCCCCCTGGCATCCCTGTACGACAAGAGCAATCCCCCCTCCCCGTGCAACAATGGTGTCACGCATTTCAGCACTCGGCAGGGAGCCTCCATGGAGAATGTCAGACACGACCTCCTGCGAGAAGTATGGTCCGAGCGGCGATGATCAATACAGCCTGTGGAGCGTCTTTGATCTCTGCATTGTAGAAATGGTGGGACAACCGTGAAGAAGAAACTGCAATCGAAAAGCGATGACAAAATGCTAGTATTCATTTGTTCTTGTATATCCGTTCCTCTGTGAGCCCGTGCATTGGTTATTTTTGTGTAGCATACAAGGAAGTTGAGAATATTTTTCCTTTGTATATGATATATAGTGCAATTGTATTCTACAGTGGCTATGAATGTGATGTGATCATGAAAGATTGGGAGACGTAGCATCATACTGGCACACGTTGCCGTTCAACCTTCATTATTCTGCCTGTCCTCCCATTTCCTTTTTCAAAAGAATATTCTGTCAGCTCTTGTGCCTTGAGCGTGATGGATCCATTTCTTTCTATTCACCGACACTTGGGTCAGCAGTCCACTTGTGCGTGAGCTGTTTCCACTTTCCTCGTGGTCTATCCATCATTGGCCATGGTGGGGGTGATGTTGTGTGTGGAGTGTGTACAGTGTGGCGTGCCAGCTGAGAATCAACCATCCAACGAAGGCGCCGACGAGGTGACGGTGAGAGGGAACGTTACTGACGTTCTACCGGCCATGGATCAACATCAGCCAGCCGCCGTTCCAATCGAAGCGCGGACGCCCTCTTGGCTCTTGCCCCTGGGGTTGGGAGGAAACAACGAACTTGTGGGCCGTCGCGCGGTCCAAAAGCCCACACGGCACAAAAACGAGAGAAACGCACGAACTGCGCGATGATACCCTGTTCGCTGATGCTAAAATTTAGCATATGATGCTTATGCTGAAATGTTGTGAGAGAAAAACATTGTTCTATGGCTGAAAAGTAGTTCTGAATAAGCTCAAGCGAACAGGACGGGCTCAACCCCAACGGCTACAACCCAACTGGATGGCGCAGAGAAAATGGCCCCGCTCGGCTGCGCTTTCACAGGAGCAGCAGCTGATCACCCATGACTATGGGTGTGTTTGTTTGTCGGACTGGGGATGTATTTTCTATTAATGATGTAGGTTGGGTGTAACCTTATTTTAAAAAAGAAAGTGTTTGATGAAGTTGTATGAGAGGATGTAGAAAAATTGAGATACTGTTTGGTTGTTTGAATAATTGGATGCAATATGTCTAACTTGTAAGACTGACGCGTGGACGCCACACCTTATCCCTGCATCCACCGAGCTTGGTTGGCAAGTGAAGCTTAAATTGGACATATCCCGCAAGCCTGTATCTACTTATGCTGACACAGCTAACCAAACACGTTTCTCGCTCAGTTTTATACAGCTCCACCCGTGTAGGTTGAGCAGAGCCGACCAACCAAATACACCCATAGTTTCCGCTGAGGGGTGTTATAGGGACCATGATGCCTACGAGGAAGTGGAGTGAATTAGGCATTTAAAAACTTTTACACTATGGCCTCTAATTCTACTTAACAAAACATATGCAAGAAAACAATATATCTATATATGCAACTAAGGTTTGACCAAGTGTGTTGTTATCACTACCGCAAAAGAGTTATGCAGCCTAGGTTACAATACTATCAACTAGCCTTGCAAGCTAAACTATAATAGTAAGCACACAACTTAGGTACACAATGTAAAGTGCGGGAGCTTAATTGAGATAGAGATGCAAACTCCTATTGATGACTCTGGTATTTTCACCGAGGTATCGAGAAGCTCACGCTCCCCCCTAATACTCATTGGAGCTCACGCAAGGATGCCCTTGCAATGGGCCAAGCTCCTGGGTGGGTAACTTTGTGATAGCCTCAGGCCTTCCCCACGTGCAAATGGGTCTCCGAGATGACCTTTCCTATAACGCTCCCTCCTTTACACACTCAGAGGCCACACCAGAAACATGGTTGACATGATCTCGTAAAAATGTAAGCCCCTAGTTTATAAGTACGATGTGCGCAAGTACCGGGCAGCCAGAGGTATGCAAAATCTCATTAAACACTAGGCCTAAACTAGAGTAAGCACATAGGCGGTGTTCTAACTAGTCTTTCCTGTGAGAACCGAAAGTTCTGTTGGTCACCGGAGAAATAGTCTTAATCCTTCCTCCTGGTGGTCATCGGAGAATAGCATTGGAGTTTTCTGTTTCTCAATTTTTAGCGCGACACACTAGCTTTCATAGTTTGGGTGTAATATTTTGCTTTGAACTCAAAAGCTAATAAAGAGATCTACATTTTTGAACTGATATCGTATCAATTTGAGCAAATAAAAAATCATGAGACAAGGACAATTCATCCACCTCTTTGTCCTGGCTTTATTAATGGTCTTTTATGTCTTCGCGTCTGGGCTTCTACTTCTTGATGTCATAGACTTCTAACATGTTCTATAGATCTTCAACATTGGCTTTAATGGCTTCAATTTCTTTTATGCCTTCGCATCCAAGCTTCTACTTCTTGGTGTCATAGACTTCTGGCATGTCCTATAGATCTTCAACATTGGCTTTAATGGTTTCAATTTCTTTTATGTCTCCGCGTCCAGGCTTCTACTTCTTGATGTCGTAGACTTCTGGCATGTCCTACTTCTGGCATGTCCTGTAGATCTTCAACTTAGGGTGTTGATCATCCGATCTCCATGTATGTTGCCTAAGTCTAAGTCAACCTTGCATCCATTTGAATTTAATCTTGTATACTACTCCCTCTGTTCCAAATTATAAAGCGCTTTAACTTTTTTGGTACATCCATTTTGCTATGCATCTAGATAAATAACATGTTTAGATACATAGCAAAATGGATGAATCAAAAAAGTTAAAGCGACTTATAATTTAAAACGGAGGGAGTAGCAAACTTTACTAGTCCAAATGATCATGTTGTACATCAAACACCAAAATCACATAATGGCCCATTCAATGTGCCATTTTCCTTACAGGTGCTGCTGCTGCAATCGTTTTCGTTTCGGCTGAATAATGTGCACAACAGCTGAATCAACGGCGTGTTCTCGAGTTCTTTTCCAAAAATAGTAATAGTAGCACATATATCAAACTAAAATTTCAGGGACTAATTCTTTTTTGTCACGCTAAGAGCCATGATAATAACAATACTTTTTCGGAATTTCTAAATATCTACCGGAAGATTTCTTGTGCTGTTGTCTTCCACTTTTGTGTGGTTCAGATCTTTATTAAGATTCATGTTTTTTTTTCATTCCGTGATGTCGTTGTGTTGTCAGTGATTGTTTTCTCCAGTTCGTTCCGTATGTCGCGGCGGCATTGGTGTTTCAGTTCGTTGCTTGTATGTGATTTGAGAAATAAAGATAGTGGGCGCTGCTGCTGTAGAATTTTATTGTTCCTTCAGTATTTTATGTCTGCTGGTGGCAGCAGCACTGAAGCAGAGTGATTTCTAAAGCAAAATTTCTCCCTTTTCAGGATCAGTGGTGTTGTATTATCAGACTCTAACTACTTTGCTATCGGCTTTCAGGAAAATTGGAGATAGTTGTTACTGCCGTGTCAATTCGGGTCGTCGGGAACGAGCTCCAACTCTGAAATTACCTTTTCATTAATCATTGTCCTTCCATGAGTCGACAGAGCACGGTTAGTTGAACACTATGCATCGGATCCAGATCGTTCGATCGTGCAGAGGTCGGTATAAAATGAACACGAACCGTCAAGTGGTCCTGCCCGCCGAGAATTGTCGAGTGCGCGCGCGGCAGCTGGGGTCTCGGCTCGATCAGGAGCAACACAGTGTGGTGCCTCGGTGTTCCATTTTTATATTTATTTTGCGAGCACCATTTTTTTCATTCCAGATTTTGATTTTCTAAAAGTGGAAGATAACAAACATAAAAATCTTCTGGAAGCTGTTATGTGACGTATATGTGTGGTATTTTCGTTTTATCTTTTTTTTTTGTCACATGTGACATGGCAACTTTTGATTTGTTAAAAAAGTGGAAGATGACAGACACAAAAATCTGCGGGAGATGTGTAGTGAGTCCCTAATTTTTTAGGCTAAAAAAAGAAACCGTGTTCTGCCGCATTCGTAGCAAATTGATCAAAGCCCAACTCCCTCTAATAGCCCGGCTGCAGCCTATTTGTTTGGTTGGGCCAAGCTCTTGCTTCCACCGCGCGGGCCGAGTTCCCAACCGGCCCTGGCAGGCCGGCAGTGTCAGTGAGTCACACATCACAGTCACAGGACAGGATGGTTCGTATCTAGTTCCATTTTTATGACAAACCATCGGGTTTTCAGACAAACAAGGCCCGGCAGCTGTATCAGTCCAGTAGACAGCTAGATTAGCACGAGTGCGGCTGCTTCTGCTTATTGACGGACGCAGGCGCTTCTCCTATATATATCTGTGACTGAGCGCAACGCGCAACCATGCATGCACGTCGCCGTCGGCTGCCCGTAGCTCTGTCCGTCCCCACGTCGGCAAACTCGCACACCAAGCAAGGCCTACACTACAGCTAGACAAGCGATCGACGACAGCCGCCCATTTACTCCATGCACTACCCTCTCCAGCTGTTACGCATGCAGTTGCAAAGCACGGCGGCGTCGGTCAAAACGCACAGTGCTCCCGTCATCTCAGACACCTCTTGTGCCGCTCATCCCATCCTCATGCAGTCGTGCTGGCCTGGCCGCACGGACAGACCGTTCCATCTGTCTCTATCTGTCCTGTCCGGCCGCCGGTTAATGCACTGGTTAACGTGCATGCCATGCAAAGTTGCAAACCATTGCCTAGCAGCGTCTTTTAATCCCAGTCTCACACTGTCCCAGCAGCTAGCAATGTCACTGTCGGAGGCCATTTTCCATTTTATTTGTTCACTCCATTTCGTTCGTTCTTTTTTTTTTGTATATCTTCGTTCAATTGTTAACAGTAATTGATATCATCAGCAATTGTCCCTCCTATATTTAGCCAGTACGGAGTATCTATCTATCTATCTATCTTTACATATGCGTAGGGCACGGGACAAATTTTGAGTTGCGACGGGTCGGAGCTACTACTTGTTTATAGGCGCGCGCGTCGACACGTGTGATCTGTGATGTGTGTACTGCAACCAGAGCGAGCGCGCGGTACATGACACACCAACGAGTTTACTCTGCGCAAGTCCCTTTCCCATTACGTATATATTTCCCAACAAGCACGTGCTCGCGCCGTGCTCACTATCTGCTGGGGGTAGATGACAGTTAGTTGCGACGTGATCGATCGGCGTTGACCACCCATAAGTGCATGACAAGCCGTATATGCATGCATGCATGGTGCAATCCAGGGCAGGGCAGGGCCACGCCTTCATTACACCGAATCCGGTGTTCATCTTATCGTTCGGACAGAAGCAGCTGCCGCGCCCGGCATCTCTCGTGCGCGACGTGCGTGCATGCATGTGTGGGGACTGGGGATTACATACGTGCAGGCAGCCAGTACCGTTGTCTGCCGGTTCGCCCCCTCGATTGATCACCCTGCAGGCCGGCCTGGCCATATTCATGCGTGCATGGCCTCCTAGTGCTAGGGCTAGTGGCCACCCTGCGCAGCCTCAACTCGATATCGGTGTGAGATAAAAAGATGTCAGCGAAAGGAAAACCCTCCAATGCATCTTTCATGGAGTATTTTTTTAATGGAAGAAAGACTAATTATATTAAAATTTGGCACAGTGCATCCTCAGATTATGCATATGAAAGAATCTGGAAAAAAAAATAGTATTCTATCAGGTGCTTCCATTGAGCTGATGCTCCAGATTAACATAGCCCCCGTCCAACACGTACTGAAGGCAATATGTAGTCCTCATGGCAAATTCTCTGACCAACCCTAAAACTCTGATCATATTAAGATCTAACGTTCCGAACTAGACCAAAACTTAAATGAACCTATGAAACTGTCCAGTATACCACTATAGATTCAAGTACCTCCGAAGCCCTTGATCCATCAAATTGGATGCTGATTTCCTCTCCACGACCATCATGATGAGACCGAGAACCCACAATTAATATCCCTACGGGGAGTACCCATGAGCATCCTTGCCCTTGACCTCCTACTGATGAAATCAATCAACTCCCGCAGCAATGATCTTGTCATGGCCATTGTTGAAGTCATTCTAGGCAAGCTACTAGCGAAATATTAATAATAATTTTATCGTTAGATTTATTTAGACTAAACTTAGGCAAACTAATAAATATAAAAAACCGCTCAACTGTAAATGAGGGATGGGACCGTACCCTTCCCCTTTTTCCACCGGCAGTCTCAACAGAAAGGAAGCAGTGAGAGGAAGGACCGAAGGAGGGGCCCTAGGCAATGACTGCGAGCTAGGTGCACTGGCGGTGGCGCCTGCCGCATGCTGAATACTGAAACTGAATAATGTTAGAGGTCATGACACATGCATACACTGAAAAAGTAGCAGCAGGGCGTGGGCAGAAATTACCTGAGCATACGGAAGCACCTATACGCAATAGTACATGATTGATCATAGAACTGTATTGTTAGTAGTGATTACTAGAGTGATTACTAGCTATGAGGTCTGAATCAGTTTCATGCTAAAAAAAAAGCTCAAAAAAAGGTCTGCATCAGTCTGCTTACGCTAGCTGCACGCTGTGAAACAAAGATGTCCACTGTCTACCAGCCAAAGTTCAGTACTACTAATAAAAAGAAGATAATTCTAGCTCTGTCGATATATACTCAAACTGTTTAAACCTTACTAAATCTATAGAAAAGATTATTCAATACTTAATTACATAAAAAATTACCATTCTACCCTTAATTACATTAAAAATTCAAAAATAGAAATATCCAACTTTTTTTAAGGCGCTGATTCCACCAATTTTAATATGCACCGGATGCGTATGGTCCCACCATTTAGTACACACTTGGTGCCTCTCAGTGCCTCTCCAATTAGTTCCTCTCGGTGCCTCTGCCATTTTAGCCGTCGGATCGCTCCTCGTGAGCCATCCATTTTCCGGCAACCATCGTAAAAATTCTCATACTTATCATGCAAAATAGGTACGGTATAAAAATATATTCGACAGTGAATCTAAAGGTACTCATTTGCTATCATAAATATTAATATTGATATTTTTTTATATAAACTTGATTAAACCCAGAATGATTTAACTCCATCATCTCATGACGAAGGGAGTATATAATATAATCTACCTGCTGCAGTCTCGTGAGTGAATTTATATGCGTAAACTACACATCAAGTTCGGCACACATGAAAGCAAGCTCCGCTCCAATGTCTCCCGGTCCATGAACACTCTCCATCTATCAAACCCTCCCAATCGTGCGGTTTGTAGATTACGTGGCTAACAGTGACGTTCTCATAGGTTTTAGTTGTCTTGTCGACTCTGATGGCGAAAACCGGTTGATATAAACTAGGCGGCTTGTGCTGTGAGTCGTTGTGAATGCCTACTCATTACAGTATAACATAATAAAACTCTTCTCCAAGTGCTGCTCGGTCGCTAAGCGCCAAGGTGAAGCAATCTAGTAGGTCTTCATCAGTAGCCCTGTTTGTTTGAACTTATCAGTCGTACCTTTTTAGTAAGATAATAGTGTTTTTTTCTAATAACAAATCAGTATCAGTCGTTTTTCTAGCCAGCCGAACAGGATCATAGGCACAACGCTTGGTCAAGCTCAAAGTAGATCACCTAATTGCTAATTTATCCCCACTGTCTGATGCTAGCAATCTATATCACCAACGTTTTCAGATCAGATAAGCTCTGCACGCGCGCTCGATGTTCTTAATCCTCAGAAATCATATACAGTATATAACAATTCAGCTATAAGTTTCCTGACAGAGTCATACATCTGTTTTCACCGTTTCAACTCAACAAATGAGCTTGAATTGAAGTGCAATAAGACTTCTTTACGATATATAGCACCAATCAGATACTATATGAGTTGAATTGAAGTACAATAAGACTTCTTTACGATATATATAGCAGTAATCAAATACTATATATATGGAATCTCGACTTTTGGACGGAAATGAAGAATTGGAAAGCAGACTTACTGAAGTTCTGATGAAACAACTAGACATGAGTTATGTTAGCACACTTACTGCGTGGACCTGCATTGTGCACGCTTACTGCGTACACTCACTAAAAGCATGGAACCAGCCGGCACTACAACATTTACAGATCGATCAATTGAGCACGTACAAGTGTAGAGGAGTGGTACGAAGCCATGCACGGAATCGACATACGTACGTACGTTCGTACATGGTCCAACATTCAGCCATTCAGAGATGGGAGTGAATTCATGGTCCAAGTGTCCAACAGAGTTTATTACGGGGTGAATGGTTGCCCGAATCAGGCCATCCTTCACGTTTTGCCTGCTTCGCCTTATTTATCTCTCGTGTTTGGTTCCCCGCCTCGCACGTTTTGCTTACTTTGTTTTATTCCTTTGCCCTCCACCATTTTACACGGTTTCGTCTTCTCAATTTTCACTTCCCTCACAATGCACCCATGGTACAGGGTCCATGTGCCATACACTCAAAACTCTCGTCCATGTATGCAACCAAACAAAATCGCATCTCATATTAGACCAACAACAAAGACAACCAAACACAACTAGATGCACAATTTGAGCATGCATCTCACCATCCTGGACCGGCTCTCCATCCTGGCTCCTCGTTACCAAAGCAACCGATCACACCCTACAGTAGTATAGTACCGTACTACCAGGCAACTTGGCCCCGTTCGCTTCGCTGAAAAAATAAGTCGAAACACTGTTCCAGCTGATTTGTTGTGAGAGAAAACACTGTTTCAGTTGAAAAAACAAGCGGAAAAGACGCTCTTTTCTTTCTTAAGATGTAACCGTACTATGGAGTCTCGGACCAACTGTAATTCAGTAATTGATCTGTGGCATAATTCGTCAAGACGAAATCAAATGGAGACATATATGCATGGTATATCGGGTTGGAAAAAAAGCTCGTTGAGCTGGCTCGGTGACTCATTTCAAAAGTGCTCCAGCTGAACTTGTTTTTCTTTTAAAATAAAAATGACTTGATTTTGAACGGCTTTTGACTTCACTTCGGCTAGTTAAGCTCGGTTTTGAAGTTGAGTCTCAAACAACTGAGACATAATAAATCAGATTATACCAATTTTGAAGATAGCTCGAAAAAAAATACAAGGAATTTATAATCGTGCATTGAGTGCCTGACACCTTCAGTAGTTCAGTTACAGTTACCGCCCCAATTAAAATTTAGTTCCGATCACATTGGATGTTTGACATTAATTTAGAATATTAAATATAAATTAATTATAAAACTAATTACATAGATTAAGACTAATTTATAAGATAAATCTATTAAGCCTAATTAGACTTATGTTTAGCGTTTCTAATCAGTGCCTAAATACCCAACGTGACATACACCGTGTAAATAAACTGACGAAAGACTTGAAACCACTAGTCCCTGTCGACTGTCGACTCATCGGCTTGTATCCTTCTCAATTTCACCAGGCTTCCCCAATTCTCTTGGTTAAACAACAAAAGCCCCTCACTATTCACACATATCACTGAGATAATGATATAGTGTGATCTTAGAGGGTGCAAAACGAAAAAAAAACATGGAGCACAAATCTCGAGCGGGAACAACCGGTGTCAGAACTCCGGCATGAGGTCTTCCTCGGGCGAGTGCTCCGCCGGCGACCGCGGAGGCTGGTGAAGCTTATCGAAGTACTCCACCACGCTGAACCCATCGCAGGAGACAATGTCATCGGCCGGCGCAGGGATGTAGGGCGGCCGGGACACCTCCCCGAGCAGGTCCCACGCCACCCCGGCGAAGAACGGGTGCGCTCGGACCTCGTCGGCGCCGCCGGCGAAACCCAGCCTCCGCGCAGGATCCTTCTCCAGCAGGCGCAAGATGAGGTCCGTCAGCTCCGGCCACCGCCGCCGCGCGTCCGCCGTGAACTCTGGCTCCCGGAGCAGCACGTTCCGGAACGTCTCCTTCCGGTTCCGGCCCCGGAACGGCGTCCGCCCGTGGCACATCTCGTAGACGAGCACCCCGAGCGCCCACCAGTCGACTGCGAACTCGTGCCCGTCGCCGCGCACCACCTCCGGCGCCACGTACTCCTCCGTGCCCACGAACGAGAACGACCGCTCCCCTGCTGCGGCGGAGCAGAAGCTCGAGAGCTTCTTGCCGCGGTCCATCGGCGACACCCTGGCCGATTTCGCCTTCTTGATCTGGTCGACGCCGCCGTCGATGCTTCTGTCCAGGTACCAGGCGAGGTTGCGCGGTTCCTCCTGTCCGGAAGTAGACGCGGTCACCGCGGACTCGCTCCTCTTGAAGATGTTCTTCACGTGGTGGTACTGGCTCCGTCCGTGACTCTGGGCCTGAGGCGGCGGCGGCGGCGACGATGTCGCCGAGCACGACGACGAGGTGGACGTGGACGTGGACGCGGAGGGGGACCTGGGCGGGAGCTGCCGTGAGAGGTCAAAGTCGGTCAGCATGACGTGGCCGTCGGCGCGGAGGAGCACGTTCTCGGGCTTGAGGTCGCGGTACGCGATCCCGGCGGCGTGGAGCACGGCGAGCGCGGAGACCACCTCGGCAACGTAGAACCGGATGGCCGCGGGCGAGAACACGCGGTCGGGCTGCGCGTGGCGGAGCTCGTTGAGGTCCCCGCCGGGGCAGTAGGGCAGCGCCCACGCCAGCAGGTCGGGCGTCTCGGCGCACCCGAGCAGGGACGGCAGGTGCGGGTGCGCGAGCCTGGACAGCACGGACACCTCCCACCGCGCGCGCCGCGCCGCGTCGGCGCCCGCGGCCGGCCTCGACGCCGCCGCAGGGGAGCAGCGCTTGTCGAAGACCTTGAGCGCGTAGGCCTCCCCGTCGGCGCCGTCCATGGCGAGGAAGACCGTGCCCATGGCGCCGCGGCCCAGCACGCGCGCCGCGCGCACGTCGTGCAGGTCGATCTCCATGGTTGGCGTCACTGGCATGAGCGTGAGCGCGCGGGCCGTGTGTGTGGCCGTGTCGTGGCGTGTCGCGGTTGTTGCCAAGGGCGGGCGGGGATTTGGAGTGCCGTGGCGATATAAGGGAAGGGGAGGCGGGTAGGGGTAGGGGCCGGCTCATCATAAGGTGACAGCTTAACTGGTTCGCTTGTCTTACCTCGTCTTCACTGCAAAAGAAAACAAATCAAGTGGCGTTGCCACAATGCCACTTTGAGCAGAATTATATATATTTATATATATTGTTGCCTCCGGCACGGATTTGGAGTTTCTTTCTTTCTTTCTTTCTTGAACTTAAAAGAGTTTCTTTCTTTCACAAACAGCTCATCACTTTTATCCAAAGCATAGTTCTATATATAACTTTTTCCGTTCTAAATTATAACTCTTCTTATTTTATACACTTTTCCTATGTGTCAGTCGCCTGAAATTTTTGATCTAGTCAAGCAATGTGTGCTCTTCTGATATTGCTTCAGGATTTGTGGACCCGTTTTGAGTGTCTGTGAACAGAGAGCAGTGCAAATACCTGTCACCTGAACACAAGTCTAATTTCAGACACCTGAAATATGGCAAGTCCCTATTTAATATTAAGTTAAACTTCAATAGCATTAGCCACACTATTTAAAAAATAAATTAACATTTATACATACAAGTTTAAATAAATACTAGTACGTTATCAAGACATATTTTATGAAAAATAATAAAAGTAATTTAATGTTGTAGATATGAGCTAATATATAATTTAGGAGTCAGGGAACACCTCAATAATCACATCAAGTAATTACCAGCAGAACTTATCTATCCGTTGTGTGGATGAAAACTATGACAACCCTTGGATGATGATAGACCATTTATTTTTATGCTTTGAAGATAACACCTCTTGTTTGGACTAGTAGAGCTCTAGTCCAAACTGCTGAGCTCGGAAGTTTAGACTAGCAGTTTCGAATGGATTTAGGGACTATTTGGTTTCTTTAGTCCGTATCCTGTTTGTTCCAGGGACTAAAGATTATTAAAGCTGTTGTACAAACATCAAAGCACCCCTAATCAATGTACAAAATCTGGGGCGGGAGCGGGGAACAGGGCAATAATGAGGGATAGGGGCTGTACTTCTAAGCCTTTAGTCCCCGTTAATCATCTCAAGGGACTAAATGACTAAACCATTTAGTCCCTGTTTTAGTCACTCTGTTTGGTAATTTAGGGACTAAAAAAGAACTAAAATAGGTGACTAAACTTTAGTCCTATGAAACCAAACAGGCCCTTAGTTGTGAATTTACAAGGAGAATTTCATCCGCTGTATAACTAGTTACAAACCACGTACTATATCCGTTTCAAATTACAAATCGCTTTAGCTTTATCTTAAACCAAACTTCTCTAATTTTAACTACCTTTTAGTTTCTTAGAGATGATTTGACAACATTAATATGGTTAAATAAATGCACGATCAAATAATTCAAGAATAAGTTAATGAAACTAATGATGTTATAGACGTTGGTGTATTTCCTATAATTTTAATTAAGATTACATAAGTTTGATTTAGAACAAAACAAAAACTGATCTATAATTTGAAACTGAGTGAGAGGATCCATGCGAGCCTGCTGGTACGAATAAATCAAACGAAAATCGCTGAAATGATCATTTCAGGGGGTGGTTGGACAAGCTAATATCAATGATTCTGGACCGGTTATTCGGTTGCTTTAATAGTACTACTGTTTTGTTTAATCGAACACGAGAGAGATCATTGGGCGTGGAGCTCGAGGCGAGAAAGCGGAAATCGGGCTCTACACGTGTGGACAGTAGCAGGAATCACGAGGAAATTCTTTTCAAGGAACGGTCCAATTCAAACGAGAAGAAAAACATGATTAGTCACCAATCATGCGATGCAACGGGACGGCCATAAGTAGTATATACTATCCTCGGCCAAAAAAGGTACTCTCCTTTTACCTTCCAAAAAGCTACTCTCTTAGTAAATTGGTAATTTTTTATTTAAGCTAAACCAAAATTTTAATTTAACTAATATTTTAAAAAATAGCATCAATATTTATGTGTCTAAATAGGTGTACTCTAAAATATATTTCACAATTAATCCAATAAAACCTTTTCAGTTACTATTTTTAAATAGATTTAGTTAAATAATGAAATTATTGGATTTCCCAAAAATGTGAACTATATTTTTTTTTCATTTCGCGCGATGGACCCAGTTTTAAAATGCCTACGTGTTGGCGCCTACACTACTCTAGCTTCTTCATCAACTAGTTAATCATCAATTTAAACCCCCGGCCCTGGGAGAAACTAAGTAAATGGTGCGTGAATCGAGTACTTTCTACACCTGGGATTGTTAAAGAAGCCATTTTCTGATTTCTGGGACTCAGTTTTCATTTCGCGCGACGGCTCCATTCTTAGAAGTCCCTACACTACTCTAGCTTCTTCATCAACTAGTTAACCATCAATATTTATAATACAAAATAGATCTGCTATAAACATACATTTCACAAATATAATTACATTTAATATGATATTATAAATATTCATATTCTTATATATATTTAATTAAATTTAAAACAATTTGTTTCTATAATTCTATTCAATCCAAGAGAGAAGAAGTATATACTGAGCTAATAACAATACACTCTGTATCCCAACTCGGATATTGATTAGACGGCTAACAAGGAGAAATTTCAATATTTGACATTGAATTTGCAAGTCTCACAAGATTTGACACTCAATTCGCCTATCTTTCAAAACTTGACACTGGACAGCCAATTGCTTTGATTTAAGGGATTTCATCAATTTTCTCTCCTTTTCCTTTCCCTTTAATCATTTCACCTCTCCCCAGCCACCTGAAAGGACCAAACTATGTCTAGATACATAATAATAAGAACAAGGTATCTAAAAAAGTTAAAATGTCTTGTAATTTGGAATATAGAAAGTACATGTATCGTGCCCTTCATGAATCTCTAAATTATGAAATGGGGTGAGCAAGGCAACAACCATGAAACTTGAAAGTGCATTTGCCTTCTATGTGGGTTTTGGTGTATTGATGACATCCAAATTAGGGACTAATGAGATCTTAATGAGATATATTACAGCTTTAGTCCCTTGAAAGTTTCAAAGAGTTGATTTAAGATAAAATGATATCCCTCAATTCTTCAAGTGCAAAAGGCGGACGAACCCAAAGCGCTCTTCAAAGCATTTTTTATTCTGGTTTGGGTTTAGGTATGCCGTACTATAAAGAGGGATGCAAGTTTAGGTGGTCCGAGAAAGATAGAGTGCTCATGCATAAAAATAAAATCTAAAGAGAGACACAAAATCACCTCACGAACACTTGGACATAGTTTATGGACTTTTGGTAGCCGGAAGTCCCGGCATGAGCCAGGAGTTCCGGCAGTCGGAACTCCCGACATTCGCTGCCAACCCGCCTGCGCACCTTCGTCCGTCGGAAGTCCAAACGGGAGTTAGGAGTTCCGGGTGCCAGAAGTTCTGGCTCTCGCCGAAAGTCCCGATGCCCTGGGACTTAGCCTCCTGGCTCGGTTGTGCGTCGGGAGTCTTGACAAAAGTCAAAAGTCCTGATTGCCAGAAGTTCTGGCATTCCGCCGGGAGTTCCCGCTCGGCCGTGTTGACCATCTTTGACTGCGCCTTGAACAGTGTTTTGTAGAGGGGCTGAAAGTTTTGACGATCCGTGTCAGAACTTCCGACGCAGATCTAAACGGTTGGATTCTACTATGAGTATAAATAGCTCTCTCCTCACTTCTAACCGTAGATGACTCATTCATTTCTCACCGACCTTCGTCCAAAACAGCTCCCAAGCATTTAAGGCACCCCTCTCCTCTCCTCTTTGCTCCAATCTTTGATTCCCGTAGGGTTTTGAGTGAAAGGAGAGTGGATTGAGTGAGAGAATCACTTTAGCAAGCTTGAGCACTGGATTTCTTTATCAAGCCGGTTGGATTTGTGTCTATTACTCTTGGGTTCTTGGAACCCTAGCCGGCTAGGCGTTGCCCAAGGGCTTCCATCTTGTGCAAGAGCCTTAGGAATTTTGTATTACCCTTGATTTCTTAGTGGAAAGCTCAAGTAACCTTTGTGGTTGCTTTGAGAGAGGCAAGGAGGTGGAAGAGACTCCAACCTTTGTGATCACCTCAACAACGAGGACATAGGAGCTCCTTTGTGGGGTTGCTGAACCTCGGGATAAATTCTTGTGTCCCGCATGCTTGTTGTTGTTGTGATTTGTGCTATCATATTTGTTCTTGTGGGTTTGTCTTCCTCCCCAACTCTCCTCTTAGGGTTTGGACTCGATCTACGAAGTGGTGACCTTCCAGCGTCAAATAAGCAACCCCAACACTTCACCTTACCACTAGGGAGTGGGGTTGTAAGATATCTTTCACTTAAAGTTCGTTTTAGCACTTGTAGTGCAATTCTCGTAGGTGCCTATTCACCCCCTCTAGCCATTATTTAGATCCTTTCAAAACTACACACGAAACATTATCATCCTTCAATAGAGTTAAGTGGAATGCACAATAGAGGGAGTTTGGTTCGAGGAATAAGGTAGTCCATCATCTACTCATTCCTCACTTTTTTGTTTGGTTTGTGGAATATAGTATGTTAATGCATCATGACCTCTGAAAGCATCTTGGCCCCTAGTTGGGTTTCAGTGATTAATGACAACACGTGATTACTGTGACTAACGTGTGTTTTGCAGAGGCAATTAAGTTAGGTCACGGTAATGGAGATCGATTGGGCTATCATGATGGTCATGCCCCTACGATGGATATCATTTTGGTTTTCAAAGGATGGACGACAAGGTTAAGGATGGACTAGTTCTAAGTGTCGATTGGAGTTGGAGTGACACTTAGAGTAGTTAGGACTTTGTTTTTCCTTTGGCCGTACTATTAAGGGGGTACGGACGGGTAGCTTGACCTAGGTGACTCTAGTGGGATTAGGTGTGGTGCACACTTGCTAAAACTAGCGCTAGGTAGCTCCTACATAGCCCTTAGATCTAATGG